CATCAAGCGTGAATTGGTTGGCGCATGTTGTGTTGTATCACAGAATTTCGCTTCTCCCGTTATGTATGTTAAGACCTGCTACTTCTGAGGCTGCTGCTACACTGGTCATCTGTTGCATTTGTCGTTGTCTAGGTGATAGAGGAGTCAGATCATCTGTGAAGTCCAGATTGTCCAACTGCATCCAAGGTATCCAATGTATGCCGTGCTTACCTTCAGATGTTGACGTCTTCACAACCCTGTCAATCGTCAGGAGAAAGAGTAAGGGTGAGATTAAGCAACCTTGTCTGACACCAGTCCTCACCATGACCGAGTCCGTCAGCTATCCTCCGAACAAAATCCTGCAGTTTATTCCATCATAAGAATTCCAGATGATGTTGAATTTTTTCTCAGTCACGCCGTCGTGCCGAAGAAGCCTCCATAGTGTTTTTCTGTCCACTCTATCAAATGCTTTCTCGTATTCAATGAAGTTGATGTAGAGTGGTAATTTCCGTTCATTTGGTTCCACTATGATTCGTAATGTTGCATTTCGGTCAACACAGGATTGATATTTACGAAATCCAGAGTGTTGATCTCGAAGTTGGTCATCTATGGAGTCCTTCATTCTGTTTAACAATACCCTGTTGAAAAAATTTCCTGGTATTGAGAGAAGAGTGATGCCTCTGTAGTTCCCACACATGCTGAAATCTCCTTTCTTTGGTATTTTGATCAGGTATCCTTCTTTTCAGTCTCTCGGTAATTGTTATTCATCCAAAATCTTGTTGAAGAAAATGAACAGTGTTTTGGCAGTTGCTGCGGCATTTATTTTCATTGACCCTGACTGAATGTTCTCTGGTCCTGATGCTTTGCCGCTCTTGATTTGTCTAATGGCCTTGCTGATCTCCTCAATTGTAGGTGCATCAACATCGACTGGGAGGACCGTAGACGCTGCTTCGATGTTGAGTGGGTTCAGTGGAGCTGGTGGATCCAAGAGTTCCTTCAAGTGCTCTACCCACCTGTTTCACTGTACGTAAGTGTTGCTGATTACTTTGCCTTCCTCGCTTATCACTGGTCGTTCTGGTTTACGATAGTTTCCAGCGAGCTTCCTTCTCTTGCAGCCTCCTACGCTTTCATTGCTGGATCTCCCACATATTTACGTTTGTTAGCTCTAATGCTACTCTCCTCTTGTTTGTTTGGTTCTGTGTATACAGCTTGTGCCTTGACCCCCCCTGCTCTTGTTCGTCTCAGACTGATTGTTGCCTTCTTGTTACTTCTTTTTCTAATCTTGTCCATTGTATCAAGAGAGATTTATTCCTCATAATGGTGCTTCTTGTGACACAGGACCTCGTGTTGAAGTGATCGCCTTCATGACCACTAATCAACTGTTCTCCAAGATTATTTCCTGTCCATTGAGTAGATTGTGCGAGGCCTGGAACCTATTGCTGAGTACGTTGCTCGCCCAATTCTCCAGTGTTTGTTGAGCTTCAGTTATATTTTGGTGACTAGGAAGTAGTGATCAAAGGCTATATTAGCTTTTCTCTTGGTTCTGACGTCATAAATAGTCCTTCTGAACTTTGTTTTGATACAGATATGGTCGGTTTGGTTCTGTGTTGTGTGATCCGGTGAAATCCATGTGGTTTTGTGTATGCGCTTGTGTGAGAAAGTTGTGCCCGCGATGACCACTTTGTTGAAGGCACATAGGTTTGCAAAGCTCTCACCATTCTTTCTCCCAGTCCACGTCGTTCCGTGATGTTTTCATATCCGGTGCTGACCATGCCAACCTTGGCATTTAGGTCACCTATCAGAATGGTCAAATCGTTTGATGATCATCTGAAGACGATTGACTGCAACCTCTCATAGAATTAATCTTTAACGTCGTTTCTCCGGGCTTGAGACCAGCCGTAGCCCCACGGGGGCTCCTGGCGAAGTTGAAAAACTACGGTGCTTCTAGACAAAATGCACGTAACGTATGCGCTCATCAGGGTTATAGCTTATACCTAGTGCCTTCAAATCGGCTCTTCGAGACAAATTCACTCCAGAATTATGCATAACATAAAAGAACTTGGTTTCATATCAATTGTGTTTGTAATCACTTATTGAAAATGTGGCTGTATCAACTAGTTCCTGTCAGTGAAATGGCGTAAACTTACTATCAGAAATAACCTTTGGCGTTTGCAACACCTTGATCTTGCCTGCAAGACGGCATGCCGCACGTGATTACAATTATTATGAGCTGCTAAAACCTAAATTTTCCCTGGTAGTCACATTGGTAACACATATCCTATGTATGCTAAAACATGGTAGAGTATACTGCCTACAACTGAAGCAGTACTGATGTCAAGAACTTCACACTTTTTGATAGGTTGGTTTATTTTCCTCCGTTTTGTAAGTCGAAACAAATGTAGTTTACATTGCCCATCATTTCGAACTATCTGACCATCAACAGCAAGACTTATATCTGACTCATGTTATAATCCGAAAACTGTGTTTCTAGCATGTCCCTCACGGATGCACTCAAGTTGAACACTACCGTATCAACGAGATAAATTGGTTTATTATTGGATTCATTAGTACTGTACTCTAGACAAATTTTGTGCCCGAAGTTGCGAACCAGTTCAAAAATGGCGGTCATCAAAGACTAATTTGAATGATGTACCAAACCTCTTGATGGTTTTTATTATTAATTTCTAAGTAGCCTTCGATCTTAATACGCGCCGATCCCTAATATGTTTACAATGTTACTTCCTCACAACTTATGGTTACATACTATGGGATACATTTATGTGGAACGGAGCACTGATTGATTGAAATCTTATGTATCACATTTATATCTGCTAATTGTATAAATAAAATAAACTCTCTAGGGTCCATTGATTTTATCTAATTTTTTTCAAAAAAGATCTTTTCTTACATTTTTGACTTTAGAATAGCTCAAGAAGCAGGTGAGTAGACACCTGAAAGCAGTATACAGCTTTGGAAAATTGGCTTCACCAACATGCTGTTAGGTAGGTATTCACAGCACTTCTTCAGAAATAGTCGCCTCTTATTTACTTTGACTCCTATATTGAGGACACGTGAGAGAAGTCAGGTACGACTTATGAAACAAGTGCAAATACTATTATGACAAGACAGAAAACTAATAAGATTTGTATGACCTATACAATACGTTTGGACGTTTATTGGGCGGTAAGCATCATTGTCCTTTGAAGTTATGAGTTCAAACATGAACTTAAATATGTTTGATCTCTAAATGAATATAACATATTCTAGGAGGAGACTGATTTAACAGCCAAGGTTAGGTAGTAACGAGCTAGCCGAATACGTTAGGACCAAAAGTCGGTATTTACTTCTTTGCTTTAAGTAAGCGTTTTAATTTATATTATAGTACAACTACGTCGCTGACTTTTAATATATATAAATTAGTAGGGTAGAAACTAGAATACTACAAGCTTCCCAAATAAACTTTAAACATGTATCACAGTTAACTTATTTCACGATAATTGGACAGAAGAACTCATTCACGTAGTAAAAATAGATAATTTTGAACCCTTCACGTTTACTATTACTGCTAACCAGTTATTTCCTTTCACTGAGCGCTATATAGCAATGGTTATTGTAAAAGCGATACTAAATTCTAAAAGGCTTGAACAACCACTCTATGATTTTTAAAAAGAGATTGATGAGAAATGACTTCTCTCAAAATGCGTTCCGTTCGATCGAATTTACGTTATACTGAAGAGTCCCGCCAAACCTTCCGCCAATTCAACTATGGCCTCGAATCCCTTAAAAATTTTCGCACCACGTACGAGTATAATAATAGAAGTCCTTCATACGACAAAATTACTTGATTTTAACAGTGAATAGTCTAACACTAAGTACCAGCTATAGACAACACTTGTTTCATACAAGTTTTCAGAACCTTGTGTCGACGTAGAATAATGAGGAACCTTCATCGCAAGTTATCCATGAGGTTGTACTAATGCTATCCTACATTTGTTGTTTGAACACCAGATGCGACCTCAAGGTTTACTGTCAAATATTCTCATCAATAGAGCCACTAATTTCATCAACTGCTTTAAGTAATAAATATGTCATGGTATGGGTTTCTACAGCCCATTGAATGTGATGTTGTTACCATAATGAGTTTTCATAGCTGTTTCAGATGTCCTATCGTCAGCTAGGAATGGAACTATTCTTTCACATATGTACACCCCAAAATGTTCATCAAATATGCATTCACTCCATTTATCATTTGAAGTTTCCAAAATAAGTACACTATTGATGAGGAAGAACTTAAAACCTGTTCGCCATCATAGACCTGTTGCAAGACGAAATTCAGGGACTAGGATTTTCTCCGTTATTATTTTAACGCTGAATAATTTTAAATTTCTAAATAGTGGCGTGATGAAGTAGAAGTAAACTGGTCTCGCTAATAATCTCTACGTCTCTAGCCACAGTCCAGATAGTCTTAACATAGTTTTTATTGAAATATTATGTGAGCATCAAGAGTATATAGATTTGAGGAGAAAACAATATCAATCAAACGGAAGTAGCGGAATTGGTCCAAGTTAGGAAAAGATCTACCTGGACGGGCATATCGGGACAAACTGCACTACATGCCACAAGATTGAGGCATAATATTGCTTATTTCACTTCATGTTACGCTCACGTCTATTGCATGAAGCTTTAGTGTTCGTGGAACATGAGTGTATTATAAATGAGATTTTTAATGACAACACATAAGTTGTCATATATCTACATGATCCATCCAAGCGTAATATGAACTCCGCTATTTGCTCTTCACTGACATCTTGAAGACAGTCCTTTAAAAGGACAGCAAAACACATTTTTGACACAGTGAAAAATACGTGGTGCTACGTGGTACCTAGATTCTTAATGGAGATTAGCATTACCATACGGTCACTCGGAACACACAAAAAATTCGTAGCATCTGCGAGACACGTATATCAAGCCAACCCGTGGATATGTGATATATGAGTCGAAATAATAAATAGTAGGAAGCTTTATATGTATTTATAACACTTTTGCTTGTTGGGTGGAATACGTGTTTTGAATAGGACCGAGTCAGCCCTGTACTGACTGTACATAAGAGGATTGTATCCATAGTGGTTTGTCAGCCAATTAATGCAACGGGAACGAGCAGCATAATGATCTGGACGGTCGTGTAGAGTAGAACCGCAGTAAACGCAGTCAAATGACCAATGAAGTGTTACCTAATGAGTTCACAAAAACAAAAGTGTAATATATATGATAAATCAAAGTTCTATGGGTCCAAAAGGCAGTCACACAACAACTTTAGTGTGAACTAAAACAAAACATATCTCAATACATATTTCGATAAGCCGCCAATCAATTTCGTACGTTTGAAGTGTTATCAATCACACAAGGAAATTATGCCACTCAATAGGGGGTAGATTCAAGCGTCAAAGGAGTATGATTAAATGTAAGCTCACCTTGAGTGGAGGTTTTCTAGTTATATGTGCAAGAAGAAAATTCATCGCTATGTCTTCACAATTGAAATAACTATCCACCATGTTACGAATATCAGGAGACATTTCCCACGTATAGGCAAATGCATAATACTAGGAAAAAATAAAGACATAATTTTGACAATGAACAGATAAAGTTGTCGCACACAACTATGGACTACATACTTTTAATAAGTATATCATCCAACCTTACTACAAAGAAAAACTATGGACGATCAAGCGGAAAATTGTAATTTTTCAAAATATATTCATCGTTTATCTTACTAACACTTAGATAATAAAATTTGAAAAGCGATGAGCTGGCTTTGGTTGTAGTTATAGACACGACTAATAGCTTGAAATTAGTATCGCGACAGTAAGTTAGAAAAGTTTAAAAGTAGAGTTATGTCAGACACGGAACAATCACTAACCGTCAGTTTCACGATTCTCGCCCATGGGCTTTTCAGTTTACTTTTCTTTATTATTGTTGTTTGTTGCCATGCGTTTACACGCATGGCAAAGATATTGCGTATTAATTTTTGAAAACATGTTGAAATTTTCCGTGATTCTGACATGAGCTTTCCATTTTATTATACTGATTATACATCAAACCTCTGACAGTGCAAGAAGAAAAACAAAGCCGTAATGTTTCGTTTGATATCTGTTCTTGTCTTATAATCGGCTGTTATAAAACAGTTCATACTTATAAACCTGTTTTTAAAACCTTAATGAAAAATGCTCACCATCTGATTAAGATAAGTCGGAGTTACGACAAAATGTTTGATAGTGCAAGAGTGAGAGTTAGGGAAATTTCTGTATAAATTGATTTTTAAAATGAAAAGACAAAGGAATAATAGTTCATTCTATTTTATGTCCCAATTAATCATTATCATAATCACTTCCACATTAAGAGAGATACATACTCCAAACGCCAACCATAGATAAACTGACTAAACTTTGATAGCTATGAGTACTGTGGCGCGTACAGTTTGAACATTCAATTTTATTCACAAATAAGAACCTCGTTCGGTTCAAGACGTTCAACTCAAAACCTAATACTAAATTAGTTTCTGTGCATGATTTATAATTATTATTAGTAGTAAAACGTTACAAGAACTGACCACAAAAAATGAAATACCTTGTGAAAAAATGCAGCTCCAGTGAGAATCATTGAAAATTCACACATATAATCAGAATTATAAAACCATGAATTATTAGAATCATTCCAAAAATGAGCTCGGGCTGGGAAACCAACCAACTGATCACGATGTTCACGCCAAACACTAAAATTTGGAAGATTGTGCATGAGGTCAATATTTCTACTGTAATGAACAATGATATTTTTGAAAGATGTTACCAATGAAAAGTTAATTTGATAGATCCCGGTTCCTCAATAGACTTTGGAAACTCTTCGCAACACTAGACACTGGTAAAACATGCGTTATTAACAAGAGAAGATTGTGGAGATGATATAATTTAAAGGTATTTTACGATACAGATGGGCGTTAACTAAACGACTATTCAATACTAAGGAGTATGAAATCGCCGTTTTGAACCACTGCGGGAATCCCCAGCAGAGCATACCCATGAACTCACCAGCGGTCGAAATAAGGAACTCTAAACCCCGTGATGAGCTGTTTGCTTTTAAAATACCAGTGTGGAATCCCTTTAGGAACTCCTATTAAATATCTTGCTTCTGTCAGCTGGAATAATAAGAAAATTTTAAATAACTAAAACACAAAATACAGACATTTTTGTTAGGATTTCAAAGACACATTGTATGACGGTTGCAAATAGTATCATGCCACTCAGATGTAATTAAAAGAGGCAAGTAAAACGTGAATTTACTGACCGATAGTTTAATGTCAAGTCTTTAAACACTTGAAAAAAAACTAATGATTAGGAACAATCACTAACTTCAGTTATCATAAAATTTTTAATAATCACATTGAACTAACGCTCGAAAAACAAAAAGATTTATATAGTTTTCACTTGCCGAAATCCAAAAACAATTTCATCATGACGCAGTTGAATATCATCATCGATGGAAAGTACTGCATCAGTTTCGATTAAATCATAAGGTAAAAATCGATTATTCAAACTGTTGTTTTGGCTAAGAATAACCTGTTAAAGAATAAGCATTTAAAAAAAATTAACTTATTATAAATAATGTTCAATGAAAAATGATAGCATTTAAAGCACCATGAGTATGATACAATCGTACATTTTAAAATTAAACATCAAAGTGTGACTCCAGATATTTTATTTGAAATAAAAGGAACTTGTTTTTTCAACGGTAATACAAGACATTAAAGTGCGTTTGAAATTTTTAACTATAATCTAAACTAATATTTGATCAACATACCAGTTTTCACTGGTGGGACCGGTAATAATGATGTAGGAAAAATATTATTGTTAGGAGTTGTGAAGACTGCTGAATTTCATTGAAATTATGAACTGGTCAAAGTTAAACTGTAACCGAAAAGGTGGAAGCACTAGAATCTTAGTGAGAAGTTGTGTCCACAGAAGCTAAACGGTGTTGGGTGTGAGACAGTTAACCACCGAAGTTAGTCAGCTTCAACATAGAACTTGGTACGTGAATACATTAGTTCAGGTTTCCATACCAGATCAACATAAAGAGATAGAATCGATAAGTTAAATCCCATATTGGTAGAGGCAGTAGAGGTATTTGCGGTAATCAAAAAGATTAGGGATCGGAGATATGATTCGAGAAGTACATCCAAGTGAAATAAATTTTTCAAAAAGACAAAAGTCGTGAGGAATTCAGAAAATTCAGATCCAAGAAAAGGCAATGAATGGATGCATCTGCGCTATTACAAGGGATTTTGAGCAATCTCACCGAAAGTCTTTAACCACAGGTTACGATTGTTTCGCAAGCCCCATCCAGTTAGTCTACATCTACCAACAACTGATAGACATTTTGAAATTTATGTTACCGATGAAAGCATTCCCAAGATAATTGATACTTCAATCAACATAAACATATTGCATTCACACAAAAAAAATAATTACTACCTTAAACTATTGTAACTAACTGTTTAATTAAAGAAATGAAAGTAGCTATTATTAATTATAGGTTTTAATCATTACAAACTGATTTGAGTTTGAGTACCGTTTGAAACCAGGGAGGAATAAACAACTGTTTCGTACGGTCATTAGATACATCAGAAGCGAGTAACCACAACCGCAACCATGATCTAGGACCTCCAGATCTCACGGCAAAAATCTCAGAATAAGAACTACTGAATCGCTGCTCAATGGTATAACAGTGAATTTGATGAATTGTAATCTGAGACAACAATCATTCATTGTCATCGGTGACGACTATTTCACAACCATCACAGCTGAACTCTAAAACACAACTTTTCACTAAAACTCCAGGGACATCCTGAAGTAAGTTATTAGCGAACAAACTATTGCGGTTCAAATGAACGGGTAATAAACTCAAACTGCAAATTTAACTACTTTCTACAAAACCGCTTCAAAGTTCATTACTATATTTATTCGGTCCAATTATTGCTTATAGAAAATTATTATCAAACCAGTTGAACTGAATAGAAAAGCTACTAAAAATGTAACCGCATTAAAAATACTAAAATACTAAAACTTTTATATCACATCAAAGATTATATGACGCCTTCATGTTTACTGAAGTTAACATTGTAGTGTTCGACTATAGATGATGGAAAATTATGGTTGATTATAATATCATATCAAAATTATTTTAAAACAGATGAACAAATAACTAAGAATTTACTTACTTTAATTGGAACATGTAATTGTGGCCAGCTGAGATCAGGATTGGGTGGAACAGGATTATTCCATACAACCAAAATTGAATGTAAATATGGAAGATTTAGGAAACTTTCTAATGTTTGACATAATAAATTAAAACGATCATAAGTCAGCATTACAACTAGAAAAATGAAGAGAAAAAAAGACGAAAAGTAAATATAGTAAAGAATTCTAATAAGAAACAAGCATTGACTAGCTGAAGATGTATGGTGGGTCAACAGATTCAAATTGATCAGATTATGTTCATATTAATTAAATATTTGTATGTTCTTATTTCCCTTGATCAGATTATAAGAATGACTTATGTGTAATAGGCGAATAATGAACTGTAGTTTTGTCGTATTAATCACTATTTTCTACATTAGCACAAGTTGACTGGATTGAGTCAAATAAACTAACTCACTAAAAAGGTAGGTTCTTGTTTTAACTTATTTAAGATCTTTCTGTTTATCGTCATAAAATCAACGTTATATCACTAACAATGATTGTTTACATCAAATAAGAACTATATTCAATATGATTATCTTTATATGCGACTCTTAGTTTAGAAATGAGACACTGTCACTGGCGCGTAACTGTCTCATACTCGATATACATAAACAATACTGATCACAGCTTATTGCACTATGACTCCAGAAATAATCTCTTAAAACTAGACACCAGCGGACATATTTAATTCATATATATATATATATATATATATATATATATATATATATATAACCTGTAATAACAACTCTACTGATTGGTTCAATACTTACTAGTAAACTGTTCATAAGGATACATACCACCTAAATTCATATTGAATTCATATCCTGCGAGATTTATGGTATGATTAATTGGTCTCAGACCATGATTTGTGGAACCATCTATAAGAATAAATGTAAAAGTAAGCATAAAAATAATGCAGATTGTTATAAGATAGAACACATCTTCAATATATATCACACTTCACATCAAATCTATTAGAGAAAAGTCAACAACAGAGTAAGACTAACATAAGAATAGTAATACAGAAATAAACACGAATAAAAAACACACAATAAAAATATAACTGCACAAACTATTTCAAAAAAGCAACGTAAAGCACACACATACACGCACACAACTATTCACTACCATGGTAAATTTCAATTCATAACAAACTGTGGATTCTAGTGAATAGTTAAACTATTAAACCATTACTTTACAGGATAGTTGTGTTACAATGAGTAGAAGTTGATCATGATGGGATTGTTTCAGTTTTATTTGATCATTTGTTCACTGACAAGTGTATCCTCATAATCAAATTCTTTCAGTTGAATAGACAAATGATGGATTTTATTTCTTAATGTGATGTACTTACATATTCAATTGGTTGAACAGGGTGATTATGTTTTCAAGAATTGATTCTTTTGGGATTTAGCAATTCATTCTGTGAATAAATTGTTTATTGTCAGCCTACGCATTTCAGTAATACTTTCAAATTAATTAAGCAATCGTAAAAATTGTCGTTCCTTTTCTATAAATTGGACTTAGTTGTTTTAAATTAAACTAATAAATGCACACTTACCTAGAATGCTCTATGCCTATCATATCATCATTTTCATTTAAATTCAAATGAACATTCATTTTCAATGTCAGGTCTGCACTGTATGTGAGTAAATAAAAAGAACTAGTAATAATTAGGTAATTGTGAAAAGAACTAGATAAGATCTTTAAAAATATAGACTATCGGTAAATTGAGACTATTTGTAGATGTGTATAAATTACTCATTGTTAAGACAGCATTACATAAAGAAAACTCACATGGTACAAATGCAGCATCTGATGGGAGTGGTGGTTCCCATGGTGTTGAAGGAAATAACCATAGCGGATTAACCATATCACTAGTGCCACCATAAAAAGATACACTAGCTAATCGAGCTGATCCACCAGGACCTGTATAATTTGATTGATAAATAGTAGAAGATTTTTGTGGTCCGACCGGACCAAGAAAATCATCTAAATCAACTTGAAAATTATTCTCTTTATGTATGGGATACTGTTTAGGTGGTTGAAATTCTCTGTAAGCTGGTAGGCTAGACCACTGTGGAGCAGGAGGTTGAGGAAAAGCAAGACGTCGACTAACAGCTAACAATAAAGTTGTAAGTTGTGATGATTTATCTTTTAAATAACGCTGAAACAAAATCTGACCCTGAAACAAAATTAAGTAAAAGCAGCAGAGAGTTAAATAACCATACATAGTAAACGTAATGAAGGTGGTTTAAAGTAGAAAATTCTCATTTTCATTCATCACCTAATGGGTTCCTTTCGTTGTTTATAAGTTTGTGAAGTATTTGAAATGGAAACTCCTACTAATGATATCGTAATACATATGAATGATTTTGAAATTTTTTCACTGAATTTTACTATTGGATCGTCAAGTAAATCCAGAATATCCAAAAAGCATGTAAGCAGCGAAGTAGAATATTGATGTATTCTAAGCCGATAATAAAGAATGGTTAGATGAAGCATTTACCTAATTGGCGTCAATGTTTTTTCATTAAAATAATGATAATAACAAATGATCAAACTATCCATGTGCTATCAGTCTACTATTTACAGAGAATATGACTTAGAAATCAAACAAATCGACTTCCGGAAATTGGGTCGTTGATTCGAATCTTCTTCATCCACTAGAAAGTTTAGTTGTTACCTCCTCAATATGTAGAAAAAATACAAAAATCTATCACATAGTATACTTTTTTTCAATTCCTATTAGTTATTGAAGAGAGTAAGGACAAGGTTTTAACAGAATAAGATGAATTCATTTTATTTCGTTTGATTTTCGTCAGCTGCTTACAACCGGTAAAATTTAAAATGATAATTACAGGACAGATGTAAATTACTTATATGAAAGAGTTTAGTTGGAAGTTGCTATGATCACATATCAGTATAATATAGCAAGATTGTGAATAATTTTTATCGTCTAAGTAAAATATTTTAAATATATACCTCAAATAAAATTATTTACACTCTTGCTATTTACACTGATATGTAATCGTAGCAACGTCCATCTAAACTCTTTCATGTAAGTAATTTACACCCATCTTGTAATTACCATTTAAAATATTACCGGTTGTAAGCAGCTGACGAAAACCAAACTAGGTACAATGAATGCAATTTATTCTGCTCAAATCTTTGTTCTTGCTCTCTTCAATAGAGATGAATCACTACTATTTGTAGTACTGTAAGAACAGCAAAAATATGCTTGATCCTGCTATCCTTGTGGGCAATCGATGTGAGATACGAAAGCAATACGGTAACAAGTGGTTGAAGTGAAATATACACAAAGAAATAATAGATGATTTGCATTACTCTCTAACTTAAATAAATTTTCAATATTACGACTAACCTGTCGGCGAATCTCAACGATATGTGCTTCAGGCAAAGATTGAAGTAAAGCTGGAAGTTCTTCAATTCGAGGTCTAGGAACGTGTATAATAACTTTAGACAATAACTCTGAATTGATCGCTTCATCAGTATATAGATCATTGTTTCCAACAAATACAGGAATAGCACCACTAGCCAGACAGTTGATCAGTTGAATTCGTAATCCAAAACTCAAATATGAATTTTTTGCCCCAGTCATTATTAATCCGAAGGTTGATTCGCGAAGAAGCTGAAGATTAAGTAGATACAACTTTAACTAAAGTAACTGTTATAAAGAAACAAGACAAAATACAGTCAAAGAACTTTACTTATCATGTGAGAGTTAAATATTACACCAGGGGGGACTCAAACATAGAGCGCATTGCCTGGAAAGTGAATCTTCTGACTAACGAGCTATTAAACTATTTTACTGGTAAGTGGCACATGTATAACTCGCAGTTCCTTGGTTTAGACAGATTACATTACAAAATAAAATAACCATGTGATTGCTCATCAACGTAAACGTACACATAAAACTTTCAAGTTATGCTAAATTCAATAGAGAACTTTTGCGTTACTAGCAAACGAAATTAGTTCCGGAAAGAAAGGCTGAAAAATACAGAAAAGAGAATATGACACTCAGTGATCCTCAAAATACTCAGGTAGATTCATTAGAGTGAAAGACTTGATCAATTATGACTGCGTATGGTTTTTTGAAGTGATATATTATTATGCTATAAAATTGTTTACTTTTGTAAAAAGAACCTTATTAACAATGTACCAATAAAGCGAATGTAACTCTTATTTACTTTACTAATTGTTATTTCTGTTGAATATTCAAAATGTCTACTAAAAACAACTAGAAAAAAGAAACTACCAAACATTAGTAAGATGGTGATTTACTGATTAAAACACTGAAATATCATATAATGGATAAAAGTGTAGACTTCATCCCATCCATCAATACTGGTTTGAACAGTTGGATATTGAAATAATATTTGCCTATCAAAGCAGAGTACATAAAACTGTATTTGCATTAATAAAATATGGAAACGATAATTTAAGGAGAGCATACACGAGAAAACTGAACAAATAGAAATTCGGGACTTCATTCCCTGATTATGGATTGCGTTACAAGTATCGCTCAGCAAAAACAAAAATCTGTTATAAACATGGAAAATCTGTGAACATTTATACGGTGATGTGTTAGTGCATACTTTGCAGGACCCTGAATATAATTTTTTAAAAAACATATAACATGGAATAAAACTAGTAATTTGACCATTTTTCTTTAGACGGGTGCACAAACACACAGAGAACTTTATTCAACTGCCAAAATCAGATTTGAAGACTAAAAAAACAGTTACACCGAATTAGTTAAAAGTAAACGTTACAATTAACTGAGTGCGCTCTTTGTGGTTAAGCAGTTAAAAAAAAAAGTCAGTAATTGAAAACAATCTTTTAAAAAGTTTGAGGGGAAATAATGCAGTGCAGGAATAGAAAAAATATTATTCAAATGTTTGTCTTCTTTTCTTAACTTACCATTCAGAAATACTCACTTCTACAAATTGAAATGAATGAATAACTGACTCGGTCATCTTGATAAAATGGTGTCCATTAAATATAAAAATAATAACAATGTACTTTACACAGATAATGTCGACTTTCAGAATCCAATTCACGTTTAAGAATACAGACAATAAGAAATACAATTACAAACAACAGACAAATGTTAGCAATAACCAAGGGACAAATGGAGAATCTGATTTCATTCTTACAAAACAGACAAACTCGACATAGCTAAGTGAACTATCCAACAGCTTAAACTTAAAATAGTACACTGGAATAATAATAATAATATTTATTGTGATAACTAAAACTACTCATCAGTTATCAACATCGAAGTTTTTGAAGTGTATTTCAATAAAAGATTTATTTATTGCTGTCGGATGCTAAAACGCTGCAATATAGTTGAGTAGACTACCATCTTGCTGTTTAACTGCTTGATAGTCTTTCAAAATATAATCGGTGAGCTGGAATATATGACTCAGTTTTTGGTTAAAAATTTGAAATTCAGAAGGTTATTACATGTCTGACTAATAAGTTGAAACACATAACTTTTGTTTTTATGATACATTAAAGATATAAAAGAGGTTTGATAAAAAAAAACCCATAAATCTATGTTCAAGTCATACACAATATTTCAATGTCCTAAAAACATCTATGGACAAATACACTAACGATTTAATATTTACAAATGATATTATATTAAAAACAAAAATGTTTCTAAGTTATCCGATTCCGAGGTAATATTCACTTCAAATATGAATTACAACATGACTTACTAATGAAGAATCTTCACATGGAAACCAATCAATATCAGATAGAGAATTTTTTGAAAGGAATTCTTTATATTTATTAGACCAACAAGTTTTAAGTTCATCAACAGTTTTATGAATTGATATAGAAAGAATAGACGATGATTCATTCTTTTTATGACTATTGTTATCGAAATGTTTCAAGTGTTCAATAACTAAATGATTAAATGATGAATAATTTTCAACAATATGACTTTTGGATAATATTCCAATATTAAAACTGAGTAATAATGAACGTCTGCCAGGTAGTAAATGCACAGGTGAAGAATTAAAGCAAATTTTCTGTGAGTATTTACACAAAATATCGTAATTTATTGGCAATAAAAAATCAAATCCTCTGCGAAATGTATTTTCAGGAAATGAATAAGCAACTAGTACAAAGTTGAAATGATTCGTTGAATAATTATATTTCTGATGTATTTGGTCAAGTTCAAATGTATTGAAAAATAAAACAATACATGTTGGTAAATTGGTTAACTTCAGTGCAGATTCCTGTATACATTTTTGAGCACCTTCAGCACCGAAAGTTAATTTTAAACATGCACCATTTTCTAGATTACAGCTTTTAGTAAAATGTGGAGAGTTTTGAAGTAATTGGTTAAATGATGTAGAATTATTCGAACCATCAAAGTCAGTACAAAACTTCAAAAATCTTGTATGTCGACATCGATTCCAATTGATACAAGATTCAATAGTACAGAATTTGTCAGATGAACTTATAACAGCAGAATAATTGATATTTTTATCATTTAATTTAAATTGAACAACTGGCCATTGAGAATAAAATATCGTTGATGATATAGTCATATCTGAAATTGTTTGTTTGTATGAATCTAAAGTGGCCTGTATTAATGAGATAAAAATTTTCGTGTGAATTAAATTATCCAAGAGGACTGCAGAATATAACTCATCATGTACAGATTTGTGTAATCTGATACACTTAAGGTTTGAGAGTTAGTACAATTACTGCTTCCCGACCGAAGCTGCTACCTTGACGTGGTGGTCGGGCTTGCCTATCGTGATGACCCAACCGAGCTATACTGGCTGGAACATATGTTCCTGCAGGTCCTACCATGCCAGGCAGGTTGACTAGAGAACGATGAGACTAAAAGCAGCTACCCAAGGTCTGAGGGCGAAGTCGTACTGCTGACTGCAGAGGGGTGTGACAGCAGTAAGGTGTTTCCCTCGGACAACCAGCATCTGCAGCGATGCTGCCTTCTCACAAGGAAGGAAGGGTTAGAAAAGGTCGGCCCTAAAAATGTCACACTCCCCCTAACTCAAGGATTTCCGTCTCCTTGGGTAAGGGTGCCCACTAAGGGCCTTTAAGAACGGAGCTAATCCTCAAAATACCTTTGATAAAAAGGCCATGCGTGACCGGCCTCAAGCAGTTGTCCCTTGGACTCTGCGGTCACGCACCAACACTAATCCATCTTCCTTTTCAGGTCCCTCAAGAAACATCCTTCCACGGTGTGGGCAGCCGGGAAGTGACAACCGCCCTCATACCCGTACCAGCATGCGAGACCAAATTGGTCAAAATCAAATCCTTCCTACACCCCCTAATGTCTCTCTTATCTCTACGACTAACTCTACTCACACTCCCTTTTCTCACTGCACCGCTAATGCAGACAAAGTGAGATCACGAAACGTCGTTCCTGGTCTCTTGAAACCCCGTTCTAGACTACATATTGGAGCTTTTAATGTACGGACATTGTGTCTAATAGGGCAACAGGCATCATTAGCTAGGACTTTAGAATCTCGTGCCATCGATGTATGCTGCGTCTCGGAAACGCGCATACAGGATCCTAGTAAAGTCATTAACCTGATTTCACCTTGTCAAAACGTAGAAACAGCTCGATTTACTCTTCGTGTATCCGGTAGCCCTGATGCTGCTTCCAGGGGTCTTGCTGGGGTAGGCATAGCGTTGAGTCCTAGGGCAGAATTATCTCTCCTAGACTGGATCCCAGTAGATAGTCGTTTGTGCGCTGTCCGACTAAACGGGACATTAAGGACTCGTAAGGATAGGGACACTCGCCGTTGCCTCTTCGTCATATCTGCCTATGCCCCCACTGACTGCAGTGCAGACGAGGTTAAAGATGAGTTTTACAGAAAGCTTTCGGACCTCCTTCAAAAAGCTAGGCGCTCTGATATAGTAATAATGGCTGGTGACTTTAATGCTCAAGTAGGTAGACTAGGTGAAAAGGAAAGACATCTTGGTGGATGTTATGGTGTAGCGACTGAGAGAACAGACAATGGAGACCGTCTGTTGCAACTATGCTCAGATAACCGCCTATTCTTAGCGAACACCAACTTTAGGCATAAGGAAAAGCATCTGCTGACCTGGCGACCTCCAAAGTCGTCTCAACGTTGGACTCAACTAGATCACATCGCCATCAGTCACCGATGGAGGGGTTCGATAGAAGACTGTCGCTCGTTCTGGGGCACATGTTTGGATTCAGATCATGCTCTAGTGCGAGCTCGTATCTGTTTAAGGCTTACTGGGCGTAGGAAAGACACCGTAAGAAAGCCTCTCAGGGTTTTACTTAATGATAATCAAACCAAGAAAATATTTCAGGAGGAACTAGAAAGAGAGTTATGCAACGATGTAAGTGATTCCCATCCAGAAGCAGGTTGGTATGATATCAAAAAGGCTGTGGAAACAGCAGTGATATCTGCTAGTAAGGTAAACCATAAGGCTAGGATGAAGCCGTGGATATCAGTCGCATCCACCGAACTGATGGATGCTCGAAAACGCATCCCACCTGACTCTGAGCATGATGAAGAGCGTAGTCAGCTTAGGCGTAGACTTATAAAAAGTCTGCGTAACGACCGCGAACAGTGGTGGGTGGCGAAAGCAAAAGCGATGGAAAAGGCAGCGGCGATCGGCAACAGTAGACAACTTTTCCGCCTTATTAAAGAAACTGGTATTAAGAACCCGAATGTGAGTGAGACTATCTCGGAAAAGGATGGTCTTATTATCCATTCTCAATCCAGGAGACTGGATCGATGGGCAGAACACTTTAGGGATCAGTTCAACTGGCCACGAGCCACTCTTCTGTTACCCACGATCTCCAGTCATCCTGAATGGCAAATCGACGTAAGTCCCCCTAGTCTTAATGAAGTTGAGAAAGCGTTAGGAAATCTGAAACGAGGACGAGCTGCAGGTCCTGATAGACTTACCCCTGAGATATTTAAGGATGGAGGTCCAGTTTTATCAGCTAGGTTGACTGAGATCTTAGGTAGAATCTGGGAACTGGACGCAATCCCATCTGACTGGTCTCAATCCTTGATTGTCCCAATCTATAAGAAAGGACAGAAGTCTTCTTGTGACAATCACAGGGGAATAAGTCTAACTAATATAGTATCTAAAATACTGGCCTCAATAATACTTCGACGCTTAACGAAAGCTCGTGAAGAGCAGACTCGAGAAAACCAGTCTGGTTTTCGACCTGGACGTGGTTGTATAGACCACGTCTTCACACTCAGACAGGTCCTGGAACATAGACACACATTTAGGCGTCCTACAATAGTTGTTTTCCTGGACCTTAAGGCGGCATTTGACTCAGTGGATCGTAAGGTTCTGTGGCAGTGTCTGTCATTGAAAGGTGTACCAGAGAAGTATATTAACCTTATACAAGCTCTTTACTCGAACACCACTGGTCAAGTGAGGGCTTATGGCGAACTGTCACCGGAATTCTCTACATCAAGTGGTGTCCGTCAGGGATGTCCACTTTCTCCATTCTTGTTTAATTTTATCATAGACATGCTCCTAGACATAACATTATCCTCGTCTGAATTTTCAGGAGTAGAACTTCTACCAGGTGGCTCGCTGATTGACTTAGAATATGCCGATGACATTGTCCTACTTGGTGAAGACGCTGACAAAATGCAGAGTCTTCTGACTACCCTAAGCAACAATGCAAGCATGTTCGGGTTGCGATTTTCCCCCTCGAAATGCAAAATGTTGCTTCAAGACTGGGTTTCATCGGCACCTGAACTAGTGATAGGGAGTGAAGTAGTCGAACGTGTAGACCGCTTCACTTATCTTGGGAGTCTCATCAGTGCCGATGGCCTGGTGACTGACGAAATCTCAGCACGGATACAGAAGGCTCGATTGGCTTTTGCCAACCTGCGTCACTTATGGCGTAGGCGAGATATCCGTTTGCTGACTAAAGGACGAGTGTACTGCGCAGTAGTTCGCTCCGTCTTAATTTATGGCTGTGAAACATGGCCGTTAAGAGTAGAAGATATTCGTAGGTTAATGGTTTTCGATCATAGGTGTCTTCGAAGCATTGCTCGTATATCGTGGGACACCCGAGTGAGCAACGCTGTTATTAGGAATCGGGTGCTAGGTAAGAATGGCAGATCAATCGACGAAGTATTGAAACTTCACCAGTTGAGGTGGTTGGGACATGTGTTGCGTATGCCCAACCACCGGCTGCCTCGTCGAGCCTTGTTTTGTAGTGTAGGAATAGGTTGGAAGAAAGTTAGAGGCGGCCAAACCAAAACATGGCAGAAATCCATGAAGTCATTGACGAGTGGACTTAGCCATGTCGGTAATTGTCGACTACCTGGTTGGGGTCCGCGAGATGATAATAATCGATGGTTAGAGACCTTGAATGACATGGCTCAAAATCGTTCGCAATGGCGCCTAAG